GTGTCCAAAAAAGGAAACGCCCAAATAACAGCCAACAGGATCACCGTATTGCCTGTCTAGAAGTTTGTGATGTTATTATAAACAATGCAAAAGAACGGTTTGCATATACAAATCATCTAGTTGCCGCAACACTTTTATCTTCAGAACATTTTCGAAAAATATAATAATAAGTTTCCTGAAAATGAATTGGATTTAACTTGTACAGCTTATAACTTCTTTGATAAAAACCGTTTGCGAACAGAACTGTCAGTTTTGTATTCCAATATCGAGTGTAGAACATTAAAAGGTGCAGTGCCTTTACTAAAATTTATAATTTCTAATAATTTAGAGGACACATTAACAGAAACCAAAAAGTTGATACAAATTCTGGTGACTACGCCAATGACCACAGCAGAAGCTGAACGTAGTTTTTCAACTTTAAAACGGATCAAAACATTTTTAAGAAATTCAATGTGCGAAGACAGATTAACAGCCCTTTCCACACTCTCGATAGAAAAAAAGTTCATCGCTTCAATACCGAACTTTAACGATAAAGTAATCGAAAAGTTTGCGACAAAAAAGGACCGGCGTATTAATTTCCAATTTAGAAAAATGCAATAAATGTAAGTTAATCAGATTTTTATAGCATGTCGTTATTAGTTACTATTAATTAGTATTAAAGCTAATTTTATTGTTTTTGTTTTCGTATGTTATTCTATTTCTATTATTTTATATTGACCGTGGTTCATGCAGCACACCCTATAGCAGATGTCACGAGCCGCCACTGACATAGAGTAACATAAAATAAAATAAAATTAAAATAAATTAATATAAAATGAAGCCTTCTCGAAATCAAATTTGATTTCGAGAAGTTTTGCTCTGTATATTCCAAGGCAGTAATAGAAGCTTTGATCAACCAAGGCATTGACAAACTACATGGTAGCAAATATATACAGACAAGCAAAAGCTAAGGTAAAATTTATGAGTATAATCCAGAATTTCCCAGTACCAGAGGAACCCGACAAGGTGATGCAATATCACTAAAGCTCTTTACGGCAACTCTAGAAAATATATTCAGTAAAATGAACTGGCAGAACAAAGGCCTATCCATTGATGGAGAATACCTCAGAATAAGATTTGCAGACAACATCGGTCTGATTTCTAATAATCCTGTAGAACTACAAGAACTGAGAAGCGACTTAAATGCAAGTAGCTAGCAAGCTAATGAAGTTGGCATAAAAATGTACTTTACAAAAACAAAAATGATAGATTGTACAATGAACTAGTTGATGTCCATGTACAATGAGCTAGTTAATGTCCAAGATGTAATAATAAACAACATTGCACTTGAGACAGAAGATGATTATGTATACATGCCACAAACAATACATAAATCTGGCTCCTAACTCCCACAAATCAACAGAAGAATCAAACTGGTTTGCTCATCTTGATGAAATTGCAGTTATATTCAAATCCAGGATGAGACTTCACGTGAAGGAAAAAGCATTCGATTAGTGTATGTATACTAATAATCATGACATACGGCTGCCAATCTTTGACACTACAGAAAGAGATAATAACGAAACTCAAAGTCATACTAGGTATGATATCTAGTATAGAGAAATCGAAAAAGAATAGAATGGATCAGACAGAAAACCAAGGTCAATGATGAAATCCACAGAATTCAATGTGTAAAATGGCAGTGGGCGGTGCATTTGTAGCGTTTTTTTATTTAAAGTGTATAGAAAAGTTTCTGTGGTACGTCCCTGTTGTTTTGGCCAAGAAATCGATCGATTTAATATAACTACGGAGAAGTTAAATGTAAATATTTCAAGTTTTTTTGACTAGATTTCTAAAATGCGTAATAACACTGGATATATTTTTTGTCTGTGTTTAGATTCAAATATCGAACCTTTTGTTATAAGTCAGGTAAAACTCAACTTTAAAATACGCACGTATTTTGTTAATTTGTATTATGTAAATTTATGATGCCCCCTGATAAAAAAAAGGTTTTATTTGTTTTCTTCGTTTAAAAAACGAAATAAACATGAATTCCCCTAATATTATAGTTGTTTTTCGTTATTGGACGAAGGTCAAAAAAAAGAATATTTGTTTGTTTAGGCAATAAAGGAACATTTAAAAGTTGGGTTTTTTTGTCGATACGAGCGAGGGGATATTGTTTTGGTTCTTGAGTTTGTGGGGACAGGTTAGCTGCAAGACGGAAGGGAAATTTTTGGCGAGTTTCTTGTAAAATGTAACGAAGCAAAAGAAGTCGACATTTAAGTTCCAAGCGGGGCAGACATGTGACAATGGAGTCGACATTTAAGTTCCAAGCAGGGTAGACGTGCTACAATGTAGAGTCTAAGATTTGATTAGAAACGGGGCAGACATGTGACAATTGAGTCAAAGATTTGAATTTGAAAAGGGAGTCGACATTTAAGTTCCAAGCAGGGCAGACGTGCTACAATGTAGAGTGGAAGAAAAGATTCGAATGGAGAAGACGTTTTGATTTGTCGGTAAAGAGACCGGCAAAATTGGTTGAGAATATTAGACTCTATGTAATATGTCAGTTTAGAAAAGAGTCACCACTATTTCTATTTTTTTCTTTGGAGTACATTAGAAGATTTGTTTAGATACCGTTTTGAAAAGTATTATATAGGATGTCCCTTAGCTTTGTTGTCGTTTTTCTTGTTTGATACAACCCATCTACGTCAGATCGGCGTTCCAAATTATGGAGATGGTTTTCTTTTGTTCCTGAGTATGGAAATGGTTCCCCTTGTTCGAGATTTCGTCCTTGCAGTTTCAGTACCAGAGATGTAGCAAGTTTCAAAGTTTAAATGCGAAATATATAAATTTTAAGGTAACAATTCAATATATTAATTTTTCAAAGTAAAGACATATTTTTTGGCTAAAGTAATAATTGCTTTCATTCTTTGTCATCAAAATTAAATGTGATACCTGACAGCAAGCTTAATTTGTTTTTTTGTTATGACAATTATAATTTGATTATTATGTAGAAACGATATTTCATATATAAGGTTAAATTTATATGTTTTCATTAAGAAGGATCCTTAATTTTTGATAATCTAATTGGCCATAATATAGTAAACAAAGAACATGTAAGTTTTTGTTCTTTGTATTATGTTATATGATTGTTTCTTTTATAATATGTATTTTTGATCTGTTTTGTTTGAGACAAGAATAAACGTTTAATTTTGTTTCTCTGATCTATTTTGAGTTTTATTTGAAAAAGATATTTTTTTTCTATATTTTTGATGTTATACAATTATTTCCCTTGTTACAACTAGTGGTTGTAATAGGTATAATTGGGCACCTCAAGTGGCGCCCTATATTAAATTTCTTGAGGTGTTTCCGTTTATTTTCATTCCGTTTGTCCCAAGAGATTTGTATAAGTAGCCCTTTATTTCTTTTTTTTGTAGTTGCCCGAATCTAACCCCCAATATCTTTAACTTATCCACGACCCAGCTCTACAACAACCAACTGAGTGTCGTTCGCACTTGTTTCGATTATTTTGTTTGCCCAATCTTGTCCCCCCATATTCTTACCCTGTGGTAAGCAAAAAAGTCGTTACACATTTAGCAAGAAGAACTAACAATAGATGGTCCACTGTGGTATCCAAGAGGCATCAAGAGGCCAAGGTCCAAATTAAAGATGAGACTATGACATAAGGAAACAATCCGGTACAACATGGCACAGAAAAGAGAAAATTAGACAATCGTGAGCAGAACTGAAGAACTACTACGTAGGGGAAGCTGCACCATAATCGGTAGAATACGCTGAGAATGATGACATATATTTAAAATAAAACAAATTCTATATTTGTTACATGTTACATGTATATACAAACCATATACATCTACTTATATCTTCATCTGCTCTGTTCTATCGTCTTTGAACAGTTCATTGATGTATTCTGTCCATCTCTTTAATTTGTCGTTAGTATTCAACACAAATTTCCCATTTGCATCTTTCAGTATTCCCGGTTTTCTTGTTTTATTATTGTGAGTTAATTCTTAAATTTTTTTTGTGTGTTAAAACTATCATGTCTTTCCTGGTATTCTTCTATTTCTGCGCATTGTTCTTTTAGCCATTGTTCTTTCGCTTTCTTAATTCTGTATTTTATTTGTTTATCCACTTTCTTGTACATATGTTTATCTTTATTTTTATATTGACGTATTTCTTCCATTAAATCTAAAATTTCTTTCGCCATCCATTGCTTTTTTTATATCTGGTTGGTATTAGAATTTCTTTTTAACTTTTATCTATTTCTGTCTTTATTAATAACCATTTTTATCCGTCTCAGTATTTTGCAGAATTTGTTCTTTAACATTCGTTAATCCGTTGTTGATCCCACCGGTAAACAAGCTAATATGTGTGTTATCATGCTTTGGTCACTAGACCTTACATCTCTCTGGTATTGTAAAGACAAACAATTTTACTTATTGGTTTTATTGTGCAACAGATTGTAAAAAATCTTAGATGAATAGAAAAAAAATCACTATAAATCATTTTAAAAGATTTCACAAGTTTTTTGTTTACAACAACAACTGATTATTTTACATTGTGGTGCTCAAAATGGATTTGTTGAAAACTCTGCTCTCATTTTCAAATCCGTTCTAAAAACCGGTGATTATCATGACGACATAATTCACTATAGTGATATGAAATGGTTGAAAGAAAAACTTTATTTCCTATTGACCTTCCAATTCAGTTTTAGTAATAGACAATACTCGCTTCATCTAATGTGACCGCTGCTACTCTGCTGAACTCTACAAAAGATACTCTGTGCTAAACCTAAAATCCGGTGTATGATGAAAACCAATTACTAACAGAGTACGGCCATTGGGTTTTACGTGTATCACCATATCATCCGGAATTTAGCCCGATTGAAAAGATATGAGTCATTTTAATGTTTTTAAGATTTATTTTCGGGCATGCGTATTTCCAAGATTTCATGAGGTTTTTCACCAACTCTACTAACCGCATGTTTTCTTTTCCAGTTTAATAAAAGATCCCAAGGATAGACCAAAGTACAACCTTCTGAAAAATCATGAATTCATAAAGAAATACGAGAGGGTAAATAATGTGAATGTTGGTGAGTGGTATGTACATTTGATCAAAACTTCAGAAGAAATGGCAAACCGGGCTGCGTCTAGGTATGTTGCATGGTTAGTTGCTTTTCAGTATTTTACTAAACTCCGTTCAATATAAGTATTTCATTAAAACTTTATTTTATAAAAGAAATATACAGGGTATCCCATAATTAATTGGACATTAGCTAATGGGTGATATCCTACATCAATTTTTTTTATTTGATCTCCAAATTTGAGATTTGATCTCAAATTGCTTAGGCAAAATGTTGCTAGTTTTCGTTGTACAGGGTGATTCAATAATAATTTTTTAATTTTACTTTTAGGGATATATTGAAAACTATTCAACCGATTAAGTGAAATTTAGTACTTGGTATTATTTAGTATGGTTAATATGAAAATAGTATTAGACACTAGGTGGCGCCACCTACTATAACGTTGGTTCATTAATGTGGCTATAATTTCCTCGACATAAAACAGATCGTATCGCGCATTTCTACATTAGAAAACTCACTATGGCGTGGCATTTTACCTTTATCTTAAGTGGTTTATAAAAAACTTAATAGCACTTTAAATAATGACTCGCACTGCACTTTAACAACTAATAATAACGACCGTCAAACCAATATATTATAAGGATCACTCAGACGAGTGGTGGGTTCTTATATCGGTCTCAAGATGGAGAAATAAAAGACAAAGTTGATAGGCTACTTTATCTATTTTGAAGACGTTTCGCTTTCGTATTCTGAAAGCATCATCAGTCAGTACATTCTTTTCCATGATTGTGTGGTTCTCATATTGTACTTTTTAGATGAACTGATGATGCTTTCAGAATACGAAAGCGAAACGTCTTCAAAATAGATAAAGTAGCCTATCAACTTTGTCTTTTATTTCTCCACCTTGAGACCGATATATATTTTAGTAGGGTAATAACTTGGGAATAAATCAATAGTGTTTTAATTAAGATAGAGGGTAATTAACGATATTTAGATTCTGAGAAATTTCAATGGATAATTTTAAATGAATAATAAAAAAATCGAAGATTTTTCAAAATTCTGCATTATTTCGCAGAATTTTGTGATGCAACAATTTTTTGAAATTTGTGTTCCTTTGTCGTCGAAAACGTCATTTTATCTAGTAGTTAGAAATACTTGTATTGAACGGGATTTGTTACTTACCCGACACTTTAATTTTTTTAATAACGCTTGTCCCATTTTGGGAATGGTGTAGTGTTTTTAGGTATTTAATTTTATAGATGAACGAATACTGCATCCAGTAGGTTTGTACAGTTATTTTATTTATTATTTTATTTGTTAAAAATATTAATATTCTTAATACGCTAACATACCATAATTTTGCATTGTGTACATGTATATATTTTAGTATATTTTGCACAAATAATTCTGTTACTGTTTTGAGGTATATTTTGCATGCTGTATTGGATATGTTGAATCGATTAAAACCGTATATGTATTGTCAAATTACTTTAAAATTTTTCATGACATGAAGAAAAATTTTCCATCATTAATATTATATAAAGGGTTAGAAGTCCCAGAAATTATTATACAACAGATACATCTCGCAGCTTAGCAAATGTTCAATCTCAAGTTTATAGACGGAGACTGGTCGAATTTTTGTTCTATAAAATTTATGCAAAAATTTTTTAGAAATATCTGACAATAAAATTTTGTATCATTCAATATTTTCTTATGCTTACGGGATGTCTTCTGCTTGTTTGTAATTTATAATCTCCTTTATAGCCCAATACTTTTTTATCTGAATATATATGTCCTAGCTAACTTACCTTTTGTTTGGTAATTAATGTTATTTTCCTCCGCTGCACAGTGTGCCGTTTCTTCTGTTAATTAGTGTTATTTTCTTCTTCCGCTGCACGAAGTGAGCCCGAACCATTTCCACAGACATTGTAGCCACTGCCTGGCCCACGTCTGCTATTTATTTTTTCTGGATAATCAATTAAAGTAGGTGTTACTTATCGTGTCTGAATATACAAGTTTCTTTGTTTTATTGTGCTTGAGATACCTTTTTCTTTCCCATTCTGTGAATTACCTTTATGTTGGTGACATGTTCGGTCCAGGTTATACAAAGAATGCGTATGTACACATACACCCACATTTCGAATGCTTCTAGTTTTTTTCATGAGCGTCTCTGTAGGTTTCCAGGCCACAGGAGCTTTCTCATTTTGTTCAATGCTGCGCAGCTCGTTTTATTCTCATCTTAATTTGTATGACCTGTTCTCATTTTGCATTTGTATTGGTGACAAGGTATACGTAAGACGGTCAATTAATATGTTGTTTATCCGTAACTCTCGAGCAGGTTGTTGATTGTTTGCTTATCAGCATCTATTTTGTCTTCTTGAAGTTAAGACTCAGGCCGTAGTCCTCACTGACTGCATTGTCCTTTTCCATTGCTTGTTGTAATTAATTTATGTTACTGGCAAGGATCATCGCCTCATCGTCATATCTTGTGTTGTTTGTTAACGTACCGTTTATTGTTATACTCTCTGTTGCATTTTCCATACATTTTTTTTAATATTTAATAGTGGAGGGGATAAAATATACCTCTCTTGGACACCTCTTTTGATCTTTACACTTTCAGTAAGTTCATTGCCTATTGTTACTCTCGCTGTTTGGCCCCAGCGAAGGTTTGCCGCAGCCCGAATATCCTTGTCGTCAATAGTTGTATTTCATAGAATATCTATTACTTGTTCGTAATTAACATTATCAAAGGCTTTTCTAAAATCCACAAAGTACAAATATACATCCTTATCAACATTGCCTTATAAGCACCTGGAGAGCGAAAACTGCTTCTTTAGCTCCAAGTGCTTCAAAAGATATCCAAACTGCTATCTATCAATGTTTTTTTACAGTTATTAATGTTATACATTCTCTTTATCTACAGATCTTGATTTTTAAACATTAATCTTTAAACGTAAAATTCCTCCTTCTTCATAACTTAGAATTTCCCGTGTTATATTCCTTCTCGAACAATATTTATCTTTTATAAGATTAGAACAATTACAAGATTAGTCAAAAGAAAAGGCAAAAAAGTATTTTTGAAGTGTGTATATTTTTAGTAATTCCTAGCTGAGCGCTTTCGGCTTTACAAAGCCATCATCGGAGCTATGCTACAATATAATGTTCTTATAAGTACTAATTGGTGAAGATTTTAATTTTTTTACTTACGTCAATTTATAAATACCACTACAATGGAGAGATCTCATTTCCTTATATGTTGAAATATTGATTTTTTATTTAATTACTTAGTTGTTAAAATTCTTAAAAAACATATAAAAAACCGACACTGGACTTCACAGACACATTAAAAAATTAAAAAAATTTTTGTCATGGTACGGGTGTAAGAACCCGACCATTGTTTGCTGTGAGGAGGTAGACAGAATAGAACTAATGAAATCAAATGTCGGTCCTTTTAAACGATTTTTCAAAAGTGACAGTTGACAAATGTCATATATAGGAAATAGAGATTGTTTTTAAATTCTTACAAAATTATTTTGTAAGCTGTCTAAGCTGTGTTTGCAAGCTGTCCTATGGTGACTGTAATATGACTTATGTAGGTAGAACAATGAGAACTCTGAATCAAAGAACACCTCAATAACCCAGAAAAATCAAACTTTGGATATCACATTAAATTTAATAATCATTCCTTTTCTCCTTCTGAAAACAGTAAAATTTTACACAACATTCCCAATAAAAACTTTAGACTCATGAATCTCTTGGATGATCTTGAGATATCCAAAGAAATGAAACTAAACCCTGATTGTTGCTTAAACACACAAATCAACCTCAATTGCAATTATAAACCTCTTTTTAAATTATTATGGGAGACTTTAGAGGAAGAAGGGTGACCTCATGCAATCTTATTACATTTTTTCATAATTTTATATTTTTAATCAAAAATTCTAAACTTTATTATAAATTTACATTTTGTAATTCATTTGACATTTGTTTTTAATTGAAACATGAAAATATATTCTTTAAAAATTTTTATGCAAATTTCTTACAAATTACCATCAAGAGATACAATTCTCAATACACTTAAGTATCAGATAATGTAACATTAATACCATGTTTCTTCTTTATATTATTGTTGAATGATTTGAGCCCTTGTTTCTTAAGGATGACTGTCAGATTCAACATACATTGACCTTGAGCAATGACTTGAGTGAATTTACAAAACTAATGTCATTCTGTATGATGTGATAAACATATCATAAGCATAAGAAACATAAGATTTAATTTAAAAACTTAAAAACTTAATTTTTAGAAAGTCTTTGATGACTATTAGTAATTCCAAACTCTAAATAATTTTGTAAGAATTTAAAAACAATCTCTATTTCCTATATATGACATTTGTCAACTGTCACTTTTGAAAAATCGTTTAAAAGGACCGAAATTTGATTTCATTAGTTCTATTCTCTCTACCTCCTCACAGCAAACAATGGTCGGGTTCTTACACCGTACCATGACAAAAAATTTTTCAATTTGTTAAGTCCAGTATCGGTTTTTTATATGTTTTTTTAAGAATTTTAACAACTAAGTAATTAAATAAAAAATCAATATTTCAACATATAAGGAAATGAGATCTCTCCATTGTAGGGGTATTTATAAATTGACGTAAGTAAAAAAATTAAAATCTTCACCAATTAGTACTTATAAGAACATTTTATTGTAGCATAGCTCCGATGATGGCTTTGTAAAGCCGAAAGCGCTCAGCAAGGAACTATTAAAAATATACACACTTCAAAAATACTTTTTTGCCTTTTCTTTTGACTTGTCATAAGTGTGTACAAAAAACATATCAGTCTTTTGATTATTAATTATAAGATTGAAAATTGTTTTTTTTTTAGTTCTAATATGTTTTTTACGATATGATGCTCACACTTTTTGGCCTTTCGTGAACTGGTAGAAAATATATTTTAATCGATCTTAGTGATCTTCTCCTGTTTGATAGAAATCTTGTTATTATAAATAATGTCTCCTCAGTAGCCCAGCGATATAGTAGCTCTGTCTTTGCTCACAATTCGAGTTGTGTACCTACTAGTGCTCAGAACTTTTTTAAAAGTCTTATGCCCAATTTCACCAACGATGCCTAAACAGTTGCCTTCGGAAGTAATTCTTATCGAAAGGAACTTCCTAAGTCAATACTTAAAACAATCGCGTTTCACAACTGAAAGAACTGCTTATCTAGGAAATGCTTTCTTAGGTATTAGCTTGGGTACGTTTGAACTACTGTCATAACCTCACTGTTTTTTTATTATTTTTTTTTAATAACACATTTTTAACGAAATCATGAATGGGTTTTTGAAAGACAACACAAGTTTGTTAGGTAGACAGTATAATTTTTTCTCTTTAGTGTTAACTTCGCTACAGGGTGGTTAAATGCTATGTATTATGCTCCATATTGTTATACGGCATGGAAACATGGACGTTAAGAGTACCTTCCATTAATAAGTTGGAGGCCTTCGAAATGTGGACGTTGCGAAGAATGTTCCGCATGCCATGGACAGATAGGGTGAGAAACTAGGAAGTCTTAAGAAAGGCAAATACTGAGAGAGAACTACTCAATTTGATCAAGTACGAAAAATTGGATACCTCGGCCATATTCTGAGAGGAAAAAAATACGCAATCCCTCAACTAATCATCCAGGGAAATATTGAAAGCAAGAGAGGAGTAGGTCGTAAACAAATGTGGCTACGGAACATAACGAACTGGACTGGCATAAATAACACTGGCGATCTTTTGCATGCCGCAAAAGACAGACGTCTGGCCTTAAGATAATTCGCTTAATAATATGATAAACTTTATTTTTTATTTATTATTATTATTTGATTCACATATTAGAAAAAAAATTTGGACAATAACATATCTTGCAATCCCATATAAATTTTGATTATCAATCGGTTGATTTATTTGGACAGCTTCAATTAGCTGTTTTCTATATATACTGTATCATCATCTAAATTTTAATTTAGTAGATGTTTAGTCTAATTTTAGGTTCCTCCATCAGTAGCAGGAAATTTAATGTATCTTCTAATGTACCTTCCTAATGCAGTTGTTACATGTTTAATTACCCTGCAACTATTACTGGCACTTATACCTCCAAAATCTCCTAATTCTAATAGAAAGTTTCCAGTTGCATGAACTCACAACGTTTACAATAGCCGATTTTGAAAAAGAAATGAAAGTAATGTATTAACTGTATTGTACGTTGGTTTAGTTTAGACATTCGAAACCTTCGAAAAAAGTCTGCATCGTCTAAAGTTTTAAAATAATTTGGTCGATTCTTGATAACTCGAGGTCTTCTTTCTATTTCTTCTTCAGAATCAGATGACGATTCGAACCGACCAACTTTCAACCATATGTAATACCTAAAATGTTTAAGGAGATCGCAAAACGTATCCTATGTACAATAAGGTAATGCTTAAGCAGTTTAGGCAATTCTTTGCGTATGTTTTAGGAAGTACCTAAGCCCACTTAGGTAATTCTTAAATATTAAGGTATCGTTGGTGAAATCGGGAATTAGTACAAAATCTTAATTTGTTCTGCGGCTTGGCGTTGAAATTCATGTGCGAATTAAGCCGATGAATATGTAGTAAGAAGAAAGATAGGTGTCATGATTCGTCGATATCCATTCCTTTTATTCTAAAAGCCAAGAGTCTCCATGTCCTATAGCACTGCTACACTATTAGGCTATTTATGTTAAAAAAATATAGAGCTAAAAGGAACTATAACGTTAAAGGAGTTTTATGGTCTCATATGGTCAATGGACTCCCAAATATAAAAAATCGTGGATTGCTATCATTTAGAGGGGTGCGTTTTTGAGAAGTGCATTTATGTGAATTCTATGCAGTTTTCGTACATATACATATACAGAAAAGTTATTCGAAATTAAATTTTCTATCGAAATTTCACCTTTTAGAGTCAAAAATATTTTCAAAATACGTTCAAACTTTCAAAAGATGTTTAGTGAAAGTATTTAGGATTTACAGTATCCCAGATACGATTTTTTAAAATTCGCCACTCACACCATTTTGTGGCCATTTTCCGTATTTTTTCGCCAACATTGGTCTATAAATTTTTTCTACTTAATTTTAAATGTATGCAGTGCTCTATTGGATTGTAAAATTAATTACCTTGAAAATGGTCTATATTAGAAGGTTCTAGACTAATTTTAAGGAAGGTACGGTTATTCAAATTTTTCTGCTTTTAACGATTTAAAAACGTAGAAAATAGTTATCGAAAAATGTTTGTGAAAAAAATAGGAAAATGACACAAAAATGGCGTGAGTGATAAACTTTGAAGAAAAATTCCACATTTTGAAGAGGAAGCATAAACCCTCGTGGGAGTAATTTATTGGGCATAAATAAAAAATCGTGTGTGTTTTTGTTTTCATTTTGCTTAGTTTTTTCAATATTATATTTTGATGTATATGTACGAGAAGTGCATAGAATTTACCCAAATGTACCCTAGTGTATAGGTAAAAATAGTAGCACTCTGCGGTTTTTTCATATTTGGAAGTCCATTGGGCATATAAAACAATAAAACCTTCCTTTCTTAAGTATATAATCAATAGCCTATATTGTTACAGGTAGTATAAGGTCTGGCCGCTTGCCTTGTTCTCTCTCCAATGACGCTGCCTCCAAGCATCCCTTTCCTCGGCTGCTCATCTCCAGTTATCCACCCTCAATTTCTATCTGGCATCGGTTCTCACTTCCTCTATCCACCTTTTTCTTGGTCTTTCTACTAGCTGACCGACGTCCCACCATAGTTCCACTAAGCTACTATGTGTTCTGTTATCCATTCTGATAAGGTGACCCATTTAGCGCAATCTTTGTATTTTTGCATAATTTGCTGTAGGAGGTTTGTTTAATATCGATATAACTCGTGATTGCCCTATTATCCATATACATGGGTCCCATTATCTTTCTTCCAAAAGTACTAATAACGTTTATTGTTTTTTCCCGTCATAATCCATGTTTTTGCGTCATATGTGACTTTCCTTGCTAGACAATATAAAATTTAGTATTGACTTCTAAAGATAAGATATTATATAGGTTTCATGTTCTGAAATCTTTCGTTAGAGTGGTCCTGTATCTTCTATTATTATTCACGTAACACTTTGAGGATTTTAAAAGTTATTACATAATAATTGTAAATCAGGTCTTCAAACTATTTAACAAAATCTAAATTGTATGATTTTCAAAAATATTACTAAAATTTGGTAACCATAAGTTGAAGATAAATAATTAAATAGAGATAATTTTTTTTAATTAAGTTATACATTTTAAATTCTAATGTGGATTTTAGATTAAGAAAAAGTTCAAAATTTAAAATTCCCTTATCTGATCTTTGTGCATTTTGACACGTTCAATTTCTTTAAAACTATGAAAATATAAACCAGTTTTCTTAAAACTATAAGTGATTTTGACTATGAATAACAACTATCCTATTTAATTTTTTCTAGACAAAATTCTACTGCAAACTCGATTAGACAGTTCTTCACCTCACGCCAATCCGCGCACAACCAACAACCTCCTTCCTCCACGAGTTCACAAATTCTTACCAACGGCAAGACTTTGTCACCAAATCCTCTGTCGCCTAAGCCAGAAAAGAAAGTATCGCATATATCTCGATTTAGTTGCTTTCAAAGAGACAATCAAAGTCAAGAATACCAGGTGCCTAGAAGTTATTCGCCTTATCAAGCTCATCAAAGCCATGTGGCTTCGTTAAAAGAACAATTGGAAAACAGAATCGTACAGGTAGGAGAATAACTTATAATAAAATTCTATTTATTTTGTTAAACTTATATTGTATGTAATGGTACATTGCTTTCGGGATTTGTAGACCGCGGTCTGGAATTATTTCTTTTTGACGTTTCGTCTGTAGCTGCGGTATGTGTTATCAAGGGCGGTTAGATCGAATACTTATTATAATTTTCGGTGGGAAGGATTTAGTAGGTTCACTACGTTTTATCATTCGAATATAGACTGAACTACAGCATGAAATTCCTTGGGTGGACAACGGTACTCTTGAATCTTTGGCCGATCTTAGACTTTCTTCTGTCGTGTTCGCCTTCGCTGGGTGAAAGACTGACTTTAATACGGTAAGAAAGCTTTACATTTTGGTATTAGTTGTTCTTCGACATTGCGGTTGAGTGGTTTTGAACGTATGGATCGTTTAATGTCCCTTGGAGCATACCTGTTCTGTCCCAACGCTTTTTTTGTATATTTAAAATTTTCCTCTAAGTAATACTTACCTACTTAAGAGCCAAATCAAACTGAAATCATTTTTTAGCGAAGTCGAGGCCTTCCTGGATGTCGTGTGCCTCCTGGGGTTCCTCGGCAGCCTCTCTTAAGGGTGCGTTGGAGTTTTACGTAACGCTGTTTTTAAATATTTTGACCCTCCTCCCCCCCATGTTTTATCAATGCAAGCAGGAGTTATATCGATATTGACAACGCACCTTAATGTTTTACAAGACCCCCTCTCCCTACCTAAACGTTACGTAACACCCGTAACACCTGAGTGATCATTTTTACCTAAAATTAACAATTATATTACGAAAATTACTGGAAAGTCGGTAACATAACTTGGTTATTGTTTGATCCTACTTGTTGCACATATTATGTTCTTGAGGTTGCATTGTGGTGATGGACGAAAGAAATCGTAGGGCACCTGCATAAATGCTTTCAGTAGAGGCGACAGATCAAATGACAACCTCACAAGAAGTGGTGAAAACTTGCATGATCCTTTATCTAAGTGACTAAGTACCACGAGCTTACTTGAGATTTTACTGTAATTCCCGCTACCAGTTGGATTCTCCATATATCATGGCCACTTCATTGTTACCCCTTATAGATGTCTCTTAAAATCCTCCTCCCTCTTTCGACGTTTCTACCCTATAGAGTAGTACTGGTCTTACTACTACTTTTGTAAACTTTCATTTTTGATGTTTTACTATTTTCAGCTGCTATCCTTGCCTTAATTTCTTCGATTGAACTGATGTCGCTTACCAGGATACGCAAGTATTTGAAATTGGGCCAGTGTTCGAACTCATCTCTGGTTAAAGTGGCTTTTCTGCATGGCTGTCTTCTATTACAGTGGTTTTCCAGGTATTTGGTTTTATTAACATTTATCTTCAGCCCAATTTTTTCAGTAACTCTTAATGGCATGATCCTCTTCGTTTGTACCTTTATCCTTCATATATGACGTCATGTGAGAGAATAAGCAATAGAGTAAACGGTCTTTATTCGGTCTGGCCATCGAAGTCGCGATCTTCTTTGAGTTCTTTTGCTATTTTTTTCCTTCGACCACCTATCTCTCTATATCTTCCCTTCATTTGGATATGTATCTAAAATAGCTTAGTATTCTTTGGTTGGTGATTGTGGTAAGCCTAGTGGTGATGTCGAGTTGTGTTAATATTGAAATATTTGTGCGGTGTGCTGTCCAAGATATGCGTATCATTCTAAGATATACCCACATTTCAAAGGTCATACGTTGTGAGTCAGACTTTTCGGTGGTCCAAGTTTCTGCAGCGATAGAAAAGGTAAGCGCCTGTACTAGGCCTTGTTTGGTATTCTTAGTTATGGCTATATCTCTTCATAGATTTTAGTAAGTTTGATCGTTGTTGATCTGGCCATAAGTAATTGCAACGACTTGCCACTGAAGTGTCGTCAGCAAAACGGAGATTGCTGATTTTTCGACCTCTGACTGTTATATCTCCTTGTCATCGATCGAAGACAATACGCATTATGTGCTCGCTACATGTATTGAATAACAAATCGCAGCAAATATAAACACATTTATTTTTCGGTATTATCTCGGATACATATATTGCAAATATTTGTATTGTTTTTAAAACATATAATAGTGATTCCTTGTTGTATATAGAACAGCACCGCATCATCTTTTGCCTCACCTGCTGTTAGTAGAAGACCTTTAGAAGTTTCTTCACCAGCACCAAATAGTCCTTATGAACACCGAAGAGTTGCTAGCGAGACGAGGTGGAGGTCACCGAGTGCTTCTCCTTTGCCGCTCAGGTCACAGTTTCAAGTAGAAGAACCGCTTTATCATAGTGGAAATACTAGTCCTATAATACTACAAAGGTTTTACCACCAACAAAAACAATTGCAACTGGCAAAGGAGGCTGAAGAATCAGGTAAGTTTGTAACTCTTAAAAAATATTGAAGCTTACATCCTGTACACTTGAGGAAAATAATGTATATTGACAATTGGGATGATTTGTAGTCTGTGATAGCATTCCCACCTGTAAGATTGTTACCATTTAATCCGATAAGCACATTGTACCCAGAAGATTTTGAAAAGTAACTTTTATTAGTTATTTGATATAAACAATTTTACAATAATTTATAGTTGTACATATAGAGTGCTTTATATAGTGTTTGTAAAATAACTACGGATTATACGCTCTATAAAAGCAGCTGGTATTCTGTTACACCTTCAAATAAAATCGAAAATTTCGTAGTACTGATGACAAAAAAAAAAGTAAATTCTAGAAAGAATCCAAAAAGACGAATATGTGAAACATGCGGTTTTGATATGTATAAGAAGACTCTCCAACGATGAATGTATACCTTTTCTTCTTTCATCTTCTTCCTCAGTTTTGTCCTTTTTAGTGGTCGCTGTTCTCTACTGTGGTCCCTCCTCTTCTTCTTACTCATTTCTGTCCATCGTATTCTCTTCATATAAAACCTACGCTCCCAAGTCCTCTTCCACACAGTCCTTCCATCTTCTCGGTTTTCCCCTACCTCTCTTTCCCTCAAATGCTAATAGCTCTATCCTTCGTCCCACGTAGTTTTCATTCCTAAGATCGACGGACCAAACCATTGCAGTTCTTGTTCTTGAACCTTTTTTGAGACTGTAGTCACTTTTGGCTCTTTTCCTAATCAAGCCCTCCCCGATTTTGTTCCTTCCAGTCTTACCCAACATGCACCGTAACATTTTCATTTCAGCTACCACCATCTTCCTTTCCTGAACTTTGCTTTACAAGCAATTTACCACCATACTTCAACATTTCTCGATCTGGTTTCCCATTTTCCATTCCTGTTATTCCGAACCACATATACTCCGTTTTCCAGTACCTTTTCCTGCTAGCCTTAAGTCCCCTCTCTTCTCCAACCCTCCAACTTTTTTATCATTTCTTTACTCTTCTCCACTAACACGATATCATCCGCAAAGAAAATTGACCAAGGAGCAGTTGATCCTTCCCTTACCTTCTCTGTCCGTACATCCATAACAAGGTTAAATAGGTAGGAACTGAGTGAACAACCTCGATGCAGACCAACCGTTACTGGAAATATCTCAGTCAATCCGACACAAGTCCTTGCTTTGGTGTAGCTCCCTCATACTTATCCTTCACGAGCCTTACTTACCTTCAGAAACTCACTTTTCTCTCATACATCTCCGTAATTCTTATCTAAGAACTATGTCTTACTCCTACTCAAGATTTATAAATACCGAATGTAGCCCTCTTTTCTTCTCGCCGCAATTTCTATATCAACTGTCTCAAAGCAAACAAGGCATCCATTGTCCTCCTTCCTGATATAAATCCAAACTGTTCTTCTATCGATGTCTTCCTCTTTATTTCGAATGTTTCCTTTATCTTTATAAAGGGAACATTCAGGGCACGCTGTGCTTCCCTCTTTGCTATCTTGTATGTATCCTTATCTTCCCTCTCCTTTGCACCTCTCATACCTCTTTCTTATCTCCTCTTTCTTCTCCCTTACCTTCTGTTGCAGTTCATCGCTCGATCATCAAGTTTCTTTGTTCCTATGAGGTCCTTTAGCAGATGTTTGATTTTCCTAGCACTTCCTCTTCCAATTGTACTACAACTTTGCTGTTGGTTTCCCTTCATTTACTGTATCTTTTTCCTCAAACTTTTTCGGCACTCTACTCCTAAAGACTTTTTCCAAATCTTTATCCTTTAACTTCCACCAGTTTACTTTCTGATGCCTTTCTTTTCGACTGATCTTTATCACCGTATCCACTAGCACCGGTCGCTGTTGACTAAATTACACACTCACCTTTTACCACTTGGTATCCTCTTTTAGTTGGCTTCTACACAACATAAAATCTATCTGACTTTCCCTTCTCCTGCTACTATAGGTAAGACACTGGACTTTAGTCTTCATAATGTTCACTATTTCGTTCATTATTTCTTATTCCCATCCTCCAACCGCCATGAACTCTTTCTATTCCCGTTCTATCTCTACCAATATGTCCATTCAAATTACCAGCAATAAAACGCTTTTCGTCTACAGGAATCTCGAGCATCTCACAGTCAAGGGCAGTCCAAAATTCTTTCTTTTGTTATTTTTATTATCATTATTTTATTACTTTTTTTGGTTACCCTTACTAGATGTTCCTTCCACTCATTGTTCAAAATAACACTCTACTTTATGTCAACCATGACTGTTATCAGTATTGTATATTAATTAGCATCCATCTTTAAGATCTCTCGGTTTATTACCTTTCTCTCCTTTACCTGTCATTCTTCCGACGTTGAGAGTTGCAATTCTCAGGATTAGCTTTTTTGGTCCCATTCGTCGTCTAGTGGGTAGCCCTAGCTTACTTTCCACGGGGATCAGGCCAGGACGCAACTGTTCGTCGGTTACGGAGAACACCCTAACCCCTAAACTGTTTTCCGATTTTCCGTATATGGAAAGAACCATAAGGAATTCTATAAGGAATTATAAGAAATAATAAGATTTCGAGAAGACTTTTGAGACAGTGCAGCATAATCGTCTTAAAGAAATTTTGTTAAACAAAAACATATACACTAGACACATTAGAATTACATATATGTAACCTATACTGGAATGAAACAGCCAAAGTTACAGATGAACTGAATGAGGACATTCAGATTTGTCGGGGGTGTGCCAAAGGTGTATTATATCATTATTGTTGTTTAATTTATATAGTGAAGCAATCTTAATTAGCGCTGGCTGAAGTCAGTGAATGCCTAATAACAAATGGTAAACCACTCATTAACTTAAGATATGTTGACGACAGTGTTCTTTTGACGGGAACACTAGAAGAACTGCAACATGTTGCTCCACGACTCAGCATGCACTGCAACAATTATGGATTAAAAATAAATCTGAAGAAAACTAAGTTCATGGTAATTAAGAAAACACAAAATATTAGAGATAAACTAGTACTAGATAATACAGAAATTGAGCAAATACCTGGTAATATCTTGGAGCTTGGATAAGAGAATATAATGATCAAACAAAAGAAAATAGTAAACTTTAACTTTTCTGTGATTACAATATCAATATCACGCTGCGCATAGGAATGCTACGATTTTATATTTTCTCCTCCCTTTTATATAGAGTTGAGACTTGGAGATAATCAAACCTTAAAAACCTATAAGCATTCGAAATGTAACGTTACCGACGTATTCTGAAAATATGGACACATCGCAAACCAACTCAACAAAAACAAGGAAGTTGGAATACTTGGGACAAATTATGAGGTGTGAAAAATACTAGCTCTTAATTATGATGCAGGGCAAAATCAAAGACAGAAAAAGAGGACGAAGACGTAAAATCTGTGTAAATTGTTAGGCTGAAGTTTAATTGAACTACTCAGACGCGCAACAAACAAAATTTAATTACCAGAATGATTTCCAATCTCCGAAAGGACCTGAACTTGATGAAGAAGAAGAATGTATGTTTAAGCTTGCAAATAATATTTTGTATTTAATTTCACTTTTTAATACCCCACATGAAATTTAATTGTCATTTTTTTTTTCAGGGAAGAAGCGTTTTTCCTCCTTTTTAAAATTGCAATTGGGTGGAGATCGAAGCGGTCGATCATCAAGGCATCAAAGTCCCGAACCACCTCCTCGACTCAGTAGACGTCCTAGTGGAGAAAATCAAAGTCCTTTAGCATTACGTCGAAATTTCTTAGAGAACAATTCTTGTAATTCTCCCAGCCTTTCACGAAGGTAAGAGCTTTAATATGTATCTAACATTTGACCACTCAAAAGAGTCCACCCTGATATTTGGCAATATTCATTGGATTTTGAGAAAATGCCAAGATATTTTTATTCTAAAGGGATCATCTTTTAGCGGCATAGATAAGGGAGAGGCTGGTACAGTGGCCACCTTTCGAGTAAATGCAAGATAAATTTAATATAAATCATAATATATTAATGAATATCAACTCAAAAACGTCAAAGCACTTAGTAAATTAAAAATGTACTCTGTAATCCCAAAAAAATACAGGTTATGCAGGTGTAACTAATTTTGTTTTTGCAAAAAATGTGGCCACTGTACCAAACTAGATGGTACAGTGGCCACAAACGTAAGGTACAGTCGTAATTACTTGCAATTCTTATATTTTTATGTATATATATATATAATATATATAACAAGCGAGTCTTCTACGGCTGGCGCCGCTTCGCGCATCCTAATTTCCAGCATTTTCTGTCGAAGCAATCTTCAGTTGTTAGATCTCTGGCGGTCATTGCATCGTCGACATCGTCTCTCCAGGATTGTCTTGATCTACCTCGTTTTCTTCTAATTGGCGGAGTTCATTCTTCTATTTTTTTTTGGCCATCTATTTTCCGGCATTCTCTGAAGGTGTCCACACCAGTTAAATCTTTTGGCTTCGATTGTGTCTATTATGTCTAGATCGATTTCCATTTATCTCCGAATATCTTCGTTTCTCACCCTATCAAGTCTAGTGAGCTGGCAACATCGTCTCCAGTAGTTCATTTCCATGGCCTTAATTTTTGATTTGTTTCTTTGGTTTGTTTCCCAGAGTTCGGTGCCGTTCAGTCCAATACTCTCTATTATTGTTTTATAAATTCTTCTTTTATTTTCTTTTGTTATTTTTTTATTCCATAATAGTCCGTGTAGCTGTCTGGTGGCTGATCTATCATCTCCGATTGGGATGCCCATATTGCAGCACTTTCTTCTCCACAGTGAGAGTGTCTCATTTAGATATAGTTTGAAGAGTATAGGTGCTATGCAGCAGCCTTGCTTTAGGCCCTTACTAATAGGAATTTCTCTAGTTTATCTATTTCCAGTTTTAATGTTTTAATGTTTGCCGTCATATTTTTGTAGAGCTGTTGTACTGCTTGTATATTTTTTTGCTTATTCCTTGTTTTTCCATTGCTACCCAAAGCATTGAAAGTGGTATACTATCGTATGCCTTTGTCAGAGCTATAAAGACTATATGAGTTGAAAGGTTGTGGGCTAATCTTTTCTCGATAACTTGCTTTAGAGAGAATATACTGTCCATGCAGGATCTGCCTGCATGAAAGCCTTTCTGTTCTTCTACATCTGTCATCTCTTTTTCAATTTTATTTTTTATTATTTTTCCATACTGTCTTGAGAGTGAATTTATGACACTTAGACCCCTTGTAGTTTGAACAATTCATTCTATCCCCTTTTTTGTAGATGTTGTTAATATGTGCTTTTGTCCACTCCGGTGGTAAGTCGTGTCCATTATAGAATAATGTGAAGACATACGCCAGTAATTCCCGTAATACTTGTGGGCTATGTTTTAATAATTCATTTGGTATACCTTGTGGTCCGCATGACTTCCGATTTTTTAGAGTTCGTATTGCATTCTCGACTTCCTGTACTGTTATTTCATCGTCTTCACTGAATTCCAGTTCATATGTTGTTGTACTGATGTTCGTGAATTGAGGTCTTGTTTCAGTCAAAAGTTGTGAGTAGTGTTCGATCCAAGATTTTTCTTCTATTAAATCTATTCTACTCGTTTCTTTTCTGTTTGTTCTCAGATTTTTTACCGTTTTCTATGCTTCTCTTGATCTTGTTGACCCTATATATTTGTTGAGTTCTTCGCATTTATTTTCCCAGGAAATATTTTTTGCTTTAGTTACTAAATTTTTTACTTCTCTGTTTGATCTTGCATATGTTCGTCTATCATCTGGATCATTTGTTTGCAGCCACTTTTGATATGCTTGTTTCTTGTTGTGTACTGCATTGGCGATATCATTTGTCCACCACAATGGAGTATTCTTTTTGTTCTTTTGGATTGTGCCGAGCGCTTCGTAAGCTGCTTCATTGATTTTATTGATTATTTTTTTATAGGTATTCTGGGCTGAGGAGTAGATCAGGTTTGCTAATTTTTGGCAATTTTTATTTATAATATTCATAAAAAAAGAAAAGTAATATTAATCTTTAACAAATATTATAAAATGATAAATCCGCTTTAAAAGTAAACAAATTTGCCGTTCGTTGTGTTGCTCCATCACTTTTTGGTTGGTTAAAATGAGTTCAACATCTTGACTTAACACCGTGACGCCCTAGAAAATTTACATTGTATTCTTGACCAGAAGAAAAAACTTCTGTAACTTGTGCAATATAAAATTTTGAAGTTTTCTTTGTTTGAAACCTCACGAGAACACATGAATTCACTTACACCATTCGTGAGGATGTCTTCGTAAGAAATTTCATCTACTTCTGAAAATAGACTAACATCGTCGGAATCCACAACATCAGACAATTCAATGTTACTGTTACTGTCATCACTGGGTATGCTTTTATTTTTCTTTGCATTACTCCTATTCGACTTGTTTGAACTATCAATTTTTCTTTTTACTGTTGTGTTAGGTTTCTTTACTCTACTTTGCCTTGATATTCTTTCTGCTGTTTCCGCTTCTATTCTTTTATAAATTGTTGTATCAGTTAAAATTTCAGTTGTTTTGTTTTTCCTTTGTTTTTTTTTTAATGGCAATAAGGTAGCTTTATTGTATGGTTGAAGTAATAAAGGTGAAGTAAATCGATTTTCGAGTGTGTCCTTGAAAGTTGCCATCGCTTCATAAGATACAGTTTTCTTTTCAGGTGTTATTTCCGATGGATGTTTCTGATTTGTTTCTGGTATTTTATTGGAACAAGTTGATGTTAAAGGGAACTGAATGTCCATTTGTGGTATATCGCTAACATTTGAATTATTTGGTTGTTGTTCTTCTTGATATATGTTTGACATGTCTGTTACGGTTGAAGCCACAAAATCATCGTCATTTAAAATGTTATCATTGAATGGAAATACCCCAGTAGCCTTTAAAAGCTGATACCACATTTTTGGGACAGAAAGCAAGTGGATAAACGTCGCTTAAAATCTATGCTATGTCGTAAATTGTTGTCCTCTTTCCAGGATTTTTCAGTAACCAATTTTGACAACCGTGTGAGTAATATTTCTTCAGAGGACGAAACATAGTTTTATCTAGTGGCTGAAGGTGATGACTAATATGTGGCGGTAAAATCAACAAGATTATATTATTTTCTTTTGCAAATTTAATAGATGCTAAAGAAACATGACATCAAAATTGATTGATACCATAATTTGGGGTCAATCTTGGAGCTCTCTCAAGAACATCTGAAGTCCAATCTATATTATTTTTATTTTCATTGCACTTTTTAAAATATTTCCTAAACGTAGTGTGTGGAATGTCGTATTTTCAAGCAACAGCCTTTTGTGATAATCCACCTTCCCAAACATCATAAATCGGTTTTCTCATATTTTCATCTGTAGTTTTTCCAATACCGGGATTTTTTGGTATTTTCCGTGGTATATTACTATCTGAAACAAAATTATTTTTGATTTTTTTTTGCAGAAAAAACAATGACCACTGCTTGTTACAAACGTATGTAGGAACAGTGGCCACCACGTTTTTTTTCATAAGCAGTGGCCACTGTTCCTTCATAAGTGTGTGACCACTGTACCACTGTAAGCTCTTTGTTTAGGAGGCATAACCTAAAATCTACTACTTTGAAGATAGATCATAATTTGCATCACCTGCAAGTTTTAAATCCTATACTGTATACCACAAAACATACAGAACGTTTAATATGTATAATATGCGTTGAAAAGATGTTTAAACTTACCTGCTACTTCTACCTAACACTGCTCTTAACAGGTTCGTTTACAAAATGGTTCTGGAAACGATGGTGCAGGGGTCAAGCGTAGTAAGCGACTACTGTGACTAAAATTGTTAGTGTTTGTACTAGATGGCCCGTCTGTATCTATCAAACAACAACAAAATATTTAAAAGTGGCCACTGTTCCAGCCTCTCCCCTATCTGTCAATTGTTAATTCCCTACCTTCCAGTACCCCAATCCTTAAATTTTAAATCGGGAGTATACCATATTATTAGACAGCTATTGTTAGACAGGTATTTCGCTGGAGACTTCAGACATCCGTATTTTTTTCGATATTAATTCTATTCTTGTGAAAAAGTATGAGTTTATTGAAAGTGGTACACCTCTTAAAAACTAATCGTAACGCCTATGTTTTGCTGATGTCAATTTTCGGTCATGTCAAAACTACATTAAAACGAAATTTTGCAAAATTAATATGAAACTTTATTAATGTAACGAATAAATTCATAATTCCAAACAGTTTACTCATCAGCTATAAACTATTTACTTATCTGTTCAAAATGATATCCTCCAACGTCCATACGATTATAAAGTTGCTGTTTGCAGTTATGAAAAACATTTTGGAGCCTTTTAGGGTTTACTACACTACATTCACGCACTATTTATTACGTTAGTTCTTCCAACTTCCTTAGTTAAAACTGGAATTGTAATATAAATCTTGTTTTTCAATCAATAACACCATATGCAGAAGTCCGAGAGGCTTACTGAATGGAGAGCAAGATCACCGATTTAAGACCGTAAGATCCTAGACTTCTTCAAATGGGGTTTACTTGAAGAATTAAGACAACGAGTAATGCTTCATGCATTACTCGTTGTCTTAATTCTTGTAGTCTAGTAACCCCTAAAAGGCTCCAAAATGATGTTCATAGCTTAGAACAGCGACTTTATAATTCGCTGTTGCGCGTGAAAAGGGGGACAAGTCATAAAATGTGAAAACGAGAAAAACACTATTTAAAATTTTACAAAAAAATGATGATTTTTTACAGATGTTTTGAATGATAATCTACTTGAAATTTGTTTTTACATGTAC